GCACTCCATCCGGGGCGACTGAGCGAGACACCGTCTCAAAAAAAAAAAATTTCTCTAAAAACATATATTTAAGTGTGACACAGGCTGAACATCATGGCTCAAGCCAGCCCTTTGGGAGGTTCAGGTCAGAGATTGCTTGAGCTGAAGAGTTTGAGGCTACACTCGGCCATGATAGCACCATTACACTCTAGCCTGGGTTAAAGGGCAAGACCCTGACTCAGAAGCAATAAAATTGACAAAGACGGTTAGTACTTGTAAAAGAGTTTACCTGAAAATAGTGTTGGCGGCGCCCAGGTGCATGCCTGTAATCCTAACACTTTAAGAGGCCGAGGTGGGCGGATTGCTTGAGTCTAGGAGTTTGAGACCAGTCAGGGAAATGTGACAAAATCCCATCTGTAGCAAATGTTCAAAAACTAGCCGGGCATGATGGTGTATACTTGCAGCCTCAGCTAATCAGGAGGCTGAAGTGGCAGGATGGCTTCAGATAGGGAGATGGAGATTGCAGTGAGCTGAGATCTCACAACCGCACTCCAGCCTGGATAACAGAGTGAGACCCTATATCAAAATTGTTTTAAAAAGTACTAAGAAGCCCTATATCAATATTATCTTTCTCGATAACAGGTATAGCTGGGCCATCTTGTAGAGCATGTGGTCTGTTCATGTTCATACAGGGCAGAAAACCTACACATTGCTGGACAGTGTTAGAAATGCAAGTGCAATGACTTGTTAATGAATATCAAATCAGTGATAAAGAAACCCATTATGATATACTTCTCATTGTTCACAGAGGTCTTATGGGAGAGAGACTCTTGGAAAGTAAAAAAGATCATCAGCATGGAGAAGTTTTGACCCAGGTTCCAGATGACATACTGAAGAAGAAAACTCCTCCTCGAGTAAAATCACGTGGAGAAGTCAGCATGGGTCATGCATCCCTTAATAGGCACCACAGAGCTGACACTGGCCACAAGACATATGAGTATCAGGAATATGGACAGAAGCCATATAAATGTACGTACTGTAAGAAAGCCTTCAGTGATCTCCCCTACTTTCGAACACATGAATGGGCTCACACTGGAGGGAAACCTTATGATTGTGAGGAATGTGGAAAAAGCTTTATTTCCCGTTCAAGCATTCGAAGACACAGGATAATGCACAGTGGAGATGGACCCTATAAATGTAACTTTTGTGGAAAAGCCTTGATGTGTCTCAGTTTGTATCTTATCCACAAACGGACTCACACTGGAGAGAAACCATATGAATGTAAACAGTGTGGGAAAGCCTTTAGTCATTCTGGTAGCCTTCGAATACATGAAAGAACTCACACTGGGGAGAAGCCTTATGAATGCAGTGAATGTGGTAAAGCATTCCACAGTTCCACATGCCTCCATGCACATAAAATAACTCACACTGGGGAGAAGCCATATGAATGTAAACAGTGTGGAAAAGCCTTTGTTTCTTTCAATTCCGTTCGATATCATGAAAGGACTCACACTGGAGAGAAGCCCTATGAATGTAAGCAATGTGGGAAAGCCTTCAGATCTGCCTCACACCTTCGAACACATGGAAGGACTCACACTGGAGAGAAACCCTATGCATGTAAACAATGTGGGAAAGCCTTTGGATGTGCCTCGAGCCTTAAAATCCATGAAAGGATTCACACTGGAGAAAAACCCTGTAGTTCCAACACTTTGAAAGGCCAAGGCGAGAAGATCGCTTAATTCACATAAGATTCTTTGAAGCTATTGAATCCAATCATGGTAAAAATGTGTTTCTCTCAAATCATGGGAACCATCGCAAAATTATTCTGAAGCTTCTGCAGTCACTGTCATCTGACAGCATTCAGAAATAAATGCCAGTAGCCCAGGAGCAAAAAGTTTTTGGGGTAGTTTAGCTGAGGCTTCACTCAGAGACCTAGGACACAGAGTTGGAAATAACTCTTAAGAGAGACACACCTCCAGTAAGACCTTAAGACAGTTCTGTCATAAAAAAAAATATAAGGTCTGGCTGGCACAGTGGCTCAAGCCTATAATCCCAGCACTTTGGGAGGCCGAGGCGGGCAGACCACGAGGTCAGGAGTTTGAGACCAGCCTGGCCAATATGGTGAAACCCCATCTCTATTAAAAAATACAAAAATTAGCCAGATGTGGTGGCACGCGCCTGTAGTCCCAGCTACTCAGGAGGCTGAGGGAGGAGAATCGCTTGAACACAGGAGGGAGAGGTTGCAGTGAGCTAAGATTATGCCACTGCACTCCAGCCTGGGTGACAGAGTGAGACTCCGTCTCAAAATAATAATAATAATAAGGTTAGCCCAGCAAAATGGCAGGTGTATATATAAAGAAAGGTCAGAAAAATCTGTTCCCTCCTGTTGAAAGCCCAATATCTAAGTGTCAAGCCCTCATTTTAAGAAACTCACTGAAGGGATAACAGAAGTGTCATTGTCAGACTCACCGCCTCAGAAAGACCTCTATCAAAACAAAAGGCTAAAGTTCCTATTCAAAAATATCCTATAATAAATGGCTGGCTATTGGGTACACTACGTATTTTATGCCATTCCTTCTCATTAGTTTTCTTTTTTTTTTTTTTTTTTTTTCTGAGACGGAGTCTGGTTCTGTCACCCAGGCTGGAGTGCAGTGGCACATTCTCAGCCCACCACAACCTCTGCCTCCCAAGTGGGTGGCTTTTCAGGCATGAGCCATGTTGCCCAGCCTCTAACCTCTTTTTTTTTTTTCTTTTTTTTGAGACAGAGTCTCACTCTGTTGCCCAGGCTGGAGTGTGGTGGTGCGATCTCGGCTCAGTGCAACTTCCACCTCCTGGCTTCCCAGGTAGTTGGGATTATGGGCACCCACCACCACGCCAGTCTAATTTTTTATATTTTTAGTAGAGACAGGATTTCACCATGTTGGTCAGGCTGGTCTTAAACTCCTGACCTCAAGTGATGCACATCAGGGTCTCCCAAAGTGCTGGGATTACAGGTGTGAGCCACTGCACCCGGCCTTCTAATCTTTTTCCCGCCTTCTAATCTTTTTTTTTTTTTTTTTTGAGACATAGTCTCACTCCAGGCTGGAGTGCAGTGGTGTGCTCTCGGCTCACTGCAGCCCCCACCTCCCGGTTTCAAGTGATTCTGCTGTCTCAGCCTCCTGAGCAGCTGGGACTACAGGCGTATGCCACCACACCCCGCTAATTTTTGTATTTTTAGTAGAGACAGGGTTTCACCATGTTGACCAGGCTGGTCTTGAACTTCTGACCTCAGGTGATCCACCTGCCTTGACCTCCCAAAGTGCTGGGATTATAGGCGTGAGCCACTGCGCCTGGTCATTTTTGTATTTTTAGTAGAGATAGGTTTCTCCATGTTGGCCAAGCTGGTCTTGAACTCCTGACCTCAAGTGATCCATCTGCCTTGGCCTCCCAAGTGCTGGGATTATAGGTGTGAGCTACTGCGCCAGGCATAATCTCTCTCTCTCTCTTTTTTTTTTTTTCTTTTCTTTTTTTGAGACAGAGTCTTGCTCTGTGGCCAGGCTGGAGTGCAGTGGCCCAATCTCGGCTCACTGCAACCTCCGCCTCCCAGGTTCAAGCGATTCTCCTGCCTCAGCCTTCTGAGTAGCTGGGCCTAGAGGCATGTGCCACCATGCCCAGCTAATTTTTGTATTTTTAGTAGAGATGGGGTTTCACCATGTTGGCCAGGATGGTCTCGAACTCTTGACCTCATGATATGCCCGCCTCAGGCTCCCAAAGTGCTGGGATTATAGGCATGAGCCACCACGCCTGGCCCCAATCTCTTTTCAAAGTACTTTTTTCTTTAATGAATGTCATAAATCAAAACTTTTTTTTCTAATGACAAACATTTTTCTTTTTTATTTTATTTAATTTTTTTTAGAGACTTGGTCTTGCTGTGTGCACCCAGCTGGAGTGCAGTGGTATTCACAGGTGTGATCTTAGTGCACTAGAGCTTCATATTCCTGGGCTCAACAATCCTCCTACCTCAGCCTGCCAAGTAGCTATCACTACAGGTGCCAGCTGCTGTGCCTGGCTTCCACTTTTTTTTTTTTTCCTTTAATCAGCTCCTTTTAAAGACCAAAGAAAACCTGTCCTCTTGTGTGGCCTAAGTTGATCTGTGAACATTATTCGCTATGACCCAGAAAATCCCACAAACTCGTGCATGTTAGAAGGATGAAACCCTCATGTTCACTGTAAGAACTGTGAAGGTGCTCAGGCCATCACAGGTATGCTTATATGAAAAGCCACCAAGTATCTGAAATATTTTCTTTTACAGAAATTATGTATACCATTTCAGTCTTAGAAAATGGAGTTGGTAGCTGTACCCAAGACAAACACTGGGGTTGAACTCACCAGTTGTCCAAAAAAGGTACTGAAATTTGCTTACAAGTACAGAGTTATGCCGAACTTAAGGGTATAGATGTAGATTCCCTGGTTGTTGAGTACATCCAGGGAACAAGGCACCCATAATGTACCACCTGACTTAACAGAACTCATGGGCAGATGAACCCATCCACAGATTCCCCTGCCACATCCAGATGATGCTTAGTGAAAAGAAACACACTGTTCCAAAAGCAGAAGAGGAGGCTGCATGGAAGAAAAAGATACCCCAGAAGAAACATAAACTTAAGAGACAAAGAAATTCAGCCAAAAGAAAATGCAAATAAAAGTTCAAAACACAAAAACCAACTCTAAAATTCATAAAACACAAAATATCATATTCTCTTAAATATGCCTCTGTGATATCTCTCTGATAAAAGTTGGCTGTACTAGAGAAAATGAAAATAGGTGTTGGTGACCGGCAGATTCTGGGTCTATGATGAATCAGAGAAGGATGGTTTTCACTGTTTTACATTTTTTTAATGCCTGATGTTGACTTGGTAGAAAGAGGATAATAAAGAGATTCTTCTGTCTATGTGTTTTAGATTACTCATGTTGACTGAAGAAAAAAAATTAAATTTGTTAAAGAAAGTGAGTTTGATTTAGGATTGACTGAGGACAATAGCCTGGAAGCAGTTCTGACAGACGGCTGCTATGCAGTATTTTGGTGTACAGTTTATAAGAGACAAGTGGGCCCTGTGCTCTATCTTGTTTTTTCTTCAAAGCATATTTCTGGAGAGCACAGAGTCCCAGAGTCAGGAATGTTATAAAGTCAGGCTGGAAACCAGAAATAAGTAACATGACTAAACATTTGTATGTTTTTTTGTTTTGTTCTGAGACGGAGTCTCGCTCCATTGCCCAGGCTGGAGTGCAGTGGTGCAATCTCGGCTCTACTGGAACCTCAGCCTCTTTGATACAAACGATTCTAATGCCTCAGCCTCCCAAGTGGCTGAGATTACAGGTATGCACTACCACACCCGGCTAATTTTTGTATTTTTAGTAGAAATGGGATTTCACCATGTTGGCCACGCTGGTCTCCAACTCCTGATGTCAGGTGATCCACCCACCTTGGCCTCCCAAAGTGCTGGGATTACAGGCTTGAGCCACAGCGCCCGGCCACTACTGCCTCACTGTCATGCAGTTAAATAATCTTAGACGCTTCCTCCTCGACTTTATACATACACACCGGAGGAGGGCTCTGCTCCTGTGTTATTCTGGCAGTGGGGTTGAGGATGTTTGTCTCATGGAAACTGGTGATGTGAGAAGCAGGTGAATAGCCTGCAGGGGGCAGCAGAGACCAACGCCAGGGACTGGACGCTGAGGCCAGTATGGATCCTGCCAAGGAGGGATGTGGAGCTCTCCTGGATGCTTCCTGGGCAGTCGCCCTCCTGCAGGTGGCTTGCAGCTGCTCAGAGCAGATCCAGAAACAGTGTGGGTTCTGACACGCTGCAGCGCCCTGGAAAGCAGGAGACCCACGTGCAGGTGCACTTCAGGGGTTTTGTCTTTCTGCGGCTGTACATCTGGAATCTGGGGCCGTTTTCAGGAGCAGTGCTTTGGGTTTGACATGCAAAGGGTCCCTGGGGTCAGGCTAATTTGCATATCTGAAGAAAATCTGTGAAGATCAAGTTCAGGGAAAGAACTGTTTGGGACCTCTCCTGGAGAAGGGGCTTATGAAGTTGACAGTTTATTTAGGTCAGAAGCTTAAAATCACCAAGTGAGAGTTTTCTGCCGATGAAGATGAAGGTCTGGAAGGAGGGAGCGTTTCCACACTGTGAGGTGGGGTGAGATATGTGAAAGCCTTGGCCATGTCTCATCCCTAATTCCGTGCCCCTGAAGGACAACTGCCCCTCCTTCCTGGTGCAGTCGTGTCTGGCCTAGTCTGGGCACCCCTTCCTGCTCTGAGGTCAGCAGATCGCTCCATTGGACACTGAGTCTGGAATTTCCTGCACACACTTAGGACCCTGTGCAGGACGAGGAAGCACTGACAGCCCATTTAATGAGGAAGAAGACAGTGCCCTGTCTAAAATCAGGAGCAAATTTGGCTGAAAAAATATCCAATGATCAGGGCTCAAGGAGAGAGTTGTCCCTTAGAGAGAAGCTATGGCTAGAACTGATCAGTCGGGCTCCGCAGGGCCCGTTACCCAGGGCTTGTGCCGTCACTCAGTTCTGAGGGGGCGGGGCCTTGCACCTTGCCCAATCAGAAGCGCTGGGGCAGGGCCTGGCCAACTGTCCATCCGGAAGGAGGAGGCCCATTCCGGCTTCCACTTTTGATGCTATGCAGATTGTTGTCGGGATACTAGATTTCCTACTCGGAGAGGCCCGGGTCCCTTCGCCACTTCTGTCTCTCTGCCGCCTGCACTGTGACCTGCACTATTCACGGGAGCCCTAGAGAGGACCCCAGGACACCCGGAAGCCGGGAAATGGTGAGTGTGTGGGGCCGGAGTCCCCAGATGGGGGAGGGGCTGGGTGAAACCGGCCTGAAGCGGCTGTGGCGGAACCCGGGTCTCCTCATGGCGCCTCCTGCATCTGGGACCGGAATCCCTCTGTCTCAGCCTGTCCCTCCGTCCCCTGGGCCGCAGGGTGCGGCTGGGCCGGCAGCCAGGACCCCGGGCATCCTGTCCTGTTCGTGCGCGGGCGACTGTGGGTCCTGGCCCCGGAGCCCTCTCTGGGCAGCTCCGCGCCCACAGCCCCCGATTCTGCGGGGACCACGGGAGGGTCATGGGGGAATCCCGCAGGGTTTTTTTCTGTTAAAAGTTAAAGAGTTTGGGCCGGGCGCGGTGGCCCACGCCTGTAGTCCCGGCACTTTGGGAGGCCGAGGTGGGCGGATCACGAGGTCAGGAGATCGAGACCATCCTGGCTAACACGGTGAAACCCCCTCTCTACTAAAAATACAAAAAATTAGCCGGGTGTGGTGGCGGGCGCCTGTAGTCCCAGCTACTCGGGAGGCTGAGGCAAGAGAATCACAGGAACCCAGGAGACCGAGGTTGCAGTGAGCCGAGATCGCGCCACTGCATTCCAACCTGGGCGACAGAACGAGACTCCGTCTCAAAAAAGAAAAGAAAAGAAAAAAAAAAAAATTAAAGAGTTTGAGCAAACAGCGATTCATGAATGAGAAACACCCAATCATGACTTTCGGTTTGTTACCAAAAAACTTTAAGAAGAATTGCATTTTGTTAACGGTGGAGGGTGTCCAGGTTCTTGGCGTCTTGAACAAAGAATTGGACAAAACGCATAAAACAAGGAAGGAATGAAGGGATTTAACACTCCACAGTGTGCGAGCGGGGCTGAGCACAGGGGCTCAAAGGCCGCATTACAGAATTTTTGGGAGTTTACCCCCTGGAGGATTCCATTGGTTACTTGGGGTATGCCCTATGTCAAAGGAGAGGATGAAGTAAAGTTATAAAATCATTTACTGGCCGGGCGCGGTGGCTCAAGCCTGTAATCCCAGCACTTTGGGAGGCCGAGACGGGCAGATCACGAGGTCAGGAGATCGAGACCATCCTGGCTAACACGGTGAAACCCCGTCTCTACTAAAAAATACAAAAACCTACTGTAGTCCCAGCTGCTCCGGAAGCTGAGGCAGGAGAATGGTATAAACCCGGGAGGCGGAGCTTGCAGTGAGCTGAGATCCAGCCACTGCACTCCAGCCTGGGCGACAGAGCGAGACTCCATCTCAAAAAAAAAAAAAAAAAAAAAATCATTTACTTGGCTTAAGCCCTATGGAGTGGGTATTTCCTTTCATAGCTGAAGTGTGAATAGGCCTTATGTTCCCTGCCTGCAGACCCTATTTTCCTGCCTCAACTTGAGTTTGATTTTGGTGTCCTTAGGTAATTACTTATGGCACTAAACACACTTCAATCTAATTGCTGCTGCTTTAAATTTGTTCCCACTACCTATAGGGACTGGCTTCCTCCTGCATTTTCCTAATCTATGGGATGCAGGGTCTCAAATCCTTCACCCTGCTACCCCACTTAACTCTTCAGTGGTTTGCAGTAACATCTTAAATGTTCAATTACTTTCCTGCATCTCCAAAAATTAACTCCCCTTCTCCAACTCACAGTATTATCAACTTTCTTTTTTTTTTTTTGAGACAGAGTTTCACTCTTGTTGCCCAGGCTGGAATGCAATGGCACCATCTCGCCTCATTGCAACCTCCGCCTCCTGGGTTCAAGCGAGTCTCCTGCCTCAGCCTCCTGTATCAACTTTCTTTATTGTATAGTATATTTCTTCATCCTTTCTTTCACATAGATGCAGTATTTTAGTGGTTTGTCATCTTTTCACAAGGTCATGGATGACTCTTTTTAAAATATTTGTGTTCTGTTTCTGAACATTTCACGTTAACAGGAAAATAGAGAATAACAACTTGATACTCCAGTGAAAAACCCCTGTTCCTCTCCTCTTATCTTGTAAGGCACAGACACCATCTCAGAATGTCTTTGGGTTGTTTCCTTTTTTGTTTGTTTGTTTTGGTTTTTTTTTTGAGACAGAGTCTCGCTCTGTCGCCTAGGCTAGAGTGAAGTGGCACGGTCTTGGCTCACTGCAACCTCCGCTTCCCAGGTTCAGGTGATTCTCCTGCCCTCAGCCTCCCGAGCAGCTGGGTTTACAGGTATGCGCCACCACAGCCGGCTAATTTTTTTGTATTTTTAGTAGAGATGGGTTTTCACCATGTTGGTCAGGCTGGTCTTGAACTCCTGACCTCAAATGATCTGCTCAACTCAGCCTTCCAAAGTGCTGGGATTACAGGCGTGAGCCACCACGCCTGGCCTGTTTCCTTTTTGAAAACTTTACAGGGTGATGTGTCTTCAGGAGTCCCAGTCTATCTTTTCCTGGTCCTGGGTTTCAGAACCATCTGGGGCTGAGCCAAAATGCCCACAGCTTCCATCCCTCCTGGCCTATTGAATATCAGCCCCTGGGTCAATCCTCCCAGAGGAGGGTGTGGGGCCTCCCAAAGGAGCAGCTGAATTTCCCAAATGGGAGGAGACTCCTGGTACACTCTTCATCTAGATAGCCAACCCCTTGGGATGCTCAGTTTTTCTCCCCCAGTCCCAGCTTCCATTAGTTGGAGACACATAGCTGGTCAGCCAGTTGGATGTTGCTATTGAGAGAGAGGTGTAGGTTAGGAGAGTTACAGCAGAGTCATCTCAACAAAGCCATGACATAACAGTGCATTCCTCACAATCCCAGAGAGATGAGGGCAGCATGCCTTGCAGGGCAACACAGAGTGAGGGGAACATCCAGGATGCAGATTCAGCCAGCAGGTGGGGAGAAAGACAGACAGGGACCTTTGGGCCAGAGTTTTTCTTGGGGTCCAAGGAGGTTTCTCTCAGGGAGTTGTTTCTGGTAGATTTAGAGCAAGCAGGTGCTAGTTCTGTGAAGTCAGGCTCTGATTAAGAAGTGGTCTATGCCATCCATGTGGTTGTAAGGGTAAGTGGGGCAAGTCAAGTTGATGTATGAAGCTGTTCCACAGTGAGGTGGTCACCAGGAGGCAGCCATGTAAGTCACATATGTGGGTTAAGCACATGCAGGAACTGGGAGGAGGTGGAGAACTGGGAACTGTTGAGGTCGAGTGCAGCTTTCTTTTTCTTCTTCTTCTTCTTTTTTTTTTCTGCGACAGTTTTCCTTTGTCGCCCAGGCTGGAGTGAAGTGGCACTCTCTCAGCTCTCTGCAACCGCCGCTTCCCGGGTTCAAGCAATTCTCCTGCCTCAGCCTCCCGAGTAGCTAGGATTACAGGCACGCACACACCCGGCTAATTTTTGTACTTTTTAGTAGAGAGGGAGTTTCACCATATTCGCCAGACTCTTTACCGGACTCCTCACCTGAAGTGATCGGCCTGCCTTGGCCTCCCAAAGTGCTGGGATTACAGGTGTGAGCCACTACACCCGGCTTGAGTGCAGGTTTCTTCCGTTATAAGAAAGTGAAACCCATAATGAAAATGCATGGTAAGGTGACATAAGAACTCATGATAACAGGCAACTCTAGAAGTAATTCATGTGGAGATGATGGGCCAAAGATTGTTTGTTCTCCTGTAGATAACCATCTGTCCTTGTCCCTGTTAAGTGAGGACCACTTGCATAATTGGCTGGTGATACCTGCTTTGTCATGGTTTCACTGTTTTCAGAATCTGCTGTTTTCTATTAAGTCTATCTTTCTATCTGTTAATACCATTTTCTCTTGATTAGTATAGATTTTATTTATTTTATTTTATTATTTTTTTTTTCAAGACAGAGTTTCACTCTTGTTGCCCAGGCTGTAGTGCAATGGCGCAATCTCAGCTCACTGCAACCTCCACCTCCCGGGTTCAAGTGATTCTCCTGCCTCAGCCTCCCAAGTAGCTGGAATTACAGGCATGTGCCACCATGCCCAGCTGTGTTTTTTGTTTTTTGTTTTTTGTTTTTTTAAATAGAGACAGGGTTTCTCCGTGTTGGTCAGGTTGGTCTCGAACTCCCGACCTCAGGTGATCCACCCGCCTCGGCCTCCTAAAGTGCTGGGATTACAGGTGTGAGCCACTGCGCCTGGCCTATTTATTTTATTATTATTTTTTTTGAGATGGAGTCTTGCTTTGTTGCCTAGGCTGGAGTGCGGTGACGCAGTCTCAGCCCACTGCAACCTCTACCTCCTGGGTTCAAGCCCTTCTCCTACCTCAGCCTCTCGAGTAGCTGGGACTACAGGCGCCCACCACCATGCCTGGCTGATTTTTATATTTTTAGTAGAGACGGGGTTTCTCCATGTTGGCCAGGCTGGTCTCAAACTCCTGACCTCAGGTGATCTGCCTGCCTCAGCCTCCCAGAGTGCTGGGATTACAGGCGTGAGCCACCGCGCCTGGCCGAAGACCCTCTCTCTTAACAAAAAAAGGCTTGGTTTGTGGGAGAACATGAGTATAGACAGAAAGTAAGAGTTGTGATGACTAAGTCATGGGATAAATGTTTGGAGTCCACAGTATCATGGGAACTTCGTAGGAATAAAGAATAAGCCTCCAGGGCTGTTAGTCTTACCTGTCCTCCTTTATATGTGTGAGATGTTTCAGGATTCTGTGGCCTTTGAGGATGTGGCTGTGAGCTTCACCCAGGAAGAGTGGGCTTTGCTGGATCCTTCCCAGAAGAATCTCTACAGGGATGTTATGCAGGAAACCTTCAAGAACCTGACCTCTGTAGGTAAGAATGACAATATTACTTCCCAGTGAATTAGAGAACAAATGTTTCTAGCTCATCAATGCTGTTCATTGATTTGGAACATGGACAGAAAATACTTTGATGAATAAATCAGACATGGCTACCATGTACCATGAATACAGAATCTAATTATTTTAAAATAAATTCATACTAATTCTGGATCTGTGTTTTCTCTGGGTTTGTGTTTTAGGAAAAACATGGAAAATTCAGAACATGGAAGATAAGTACAAAAATCCCAGGAGAAATCTAAGGTAATTTTGTCTCACAAGACAAGACAATGCCTCTAGAAAATCTTAAAATGTGAGAAAATATTAAAAAGAAGCAAAAGAGCCGGGTACAGTGGCTCACACCTGTAATCCCAGCACTTTGGGAGGCCAAGGCAGGTGGATCACGAGGTCAGGAGATCGAGACCATCCTGGCTAACACGGTGAAACCCCGCCTCTACTAAAAATACAAAAAACTAGCCGGGCGAGGTGGCGGGCGCCTGTAGTCTCAGCTACTCGGGAGGCTGAGGCAGGAGAATGGCGTGAACCCAGGAGGCGGAGCTTGCAGTGAGCCGAGATCACGCCACTGCACTCAAACCTGGGCGATAGAGTGAGACTCCATCTCAAAAAAAAAAAAAAAGCAAAAGAAATAAACCCAGTATCAAATTTATGTATTCATAGAAAGTTTTCCTAAAAACATATGTTTAAATGTAACATAGGCTGGGCTGGGCACTGTTGCTCATAACCAAAATCCCAGTCCTTTGGGGCATTCAGACCAAAGGATGGCTGGAGGCCAGGAGGTTGAGGCTGCAGTGAGCCATGATGGTATCACTGCACTCCAATTTGGACAACAGGGTGAGTTGTAACCCCAGCTCAAAAAAAAAGACGCACATGTTTAGTATTTGTAAAATAGTTTACTTGAAGATAGGATTATGAAGTCCCATAGAAAAACTAATTTTTAAAAAATATATATACCCAGACCATCTTGCAGAGCATATCGTTCATTAATATTCAAACAATTCAGACAGAGCAGAAAGCTGACACTTTGCCAGGCCGTGTTAAAAATGCAAGTGCAATACTTGTTAATGAATATAAATCATGATTTTTTTCTTCTTTTTTGAGACAAGAGTCTCGCTCTGTCTCCCAGGCTGGAGTGGAGTGGTGTGGTTTCAGCTCACTGCAGCTGCCACTGCTTGGGTTCGAGGTATTCTTGTGCCTTAGCATCCCAAGTAGTTGGGATTACAAGCGCATGCCGTCACACCCAGCCAATTTTTGTATTTTTAGTAGAGACAGGGTTTTGCCATGTTGGCCAGGATGATCCCAAACTCCTGGCCTCAAGCCATCTGCCCGCCTCAGCCTCCCATAGTGCTGGGATTACAGGTGTGACACACTGCACCCAGCCAATATAGATCGCTTTTTTTTTTTTTTTTGAGACAGAGTTTTGCGCTTGTCACCCAGGCTGGAGCACAATGGCACTATCTCAGCTCACTGCAACCTCTGTCTCTGGGGTTCAAGCGATTCTCCCACCTCAGCCTCCCGAGTAACTGGGATTACAGGCACCTGCCACCGTGCCCGGCTAATTTTTGCATTTTTAGTAGAGACAGGGTTTCACCATGTTGGCCAGGATGGTCTCGAACTCATGACCTCAGGTGATCCGCCCACCTCAGCCTCTCAAAGGCGTGAGCCACGGTGCCCGGCCCTGTACGTCACTTTTAATCAAACCGTTAATAATATGCTTCTTATTTTTCACTGAAGTCTTATGAGAGAGAAACTCTTTGAAAGCAAAGAAAGTCATCACTGTGGAGAAAGCTTCAACCAGATTGCAGATGACATGCTGAACAAGAAAACTCTTCCTGAAGTAATACCGTGTGAAAGCAGTGTGTGTGGAGAAGTTGGCGTGGGTCACTCATCTCTTAATAGGCACATCAGAGCTGACACTGGACACAAGTCTTCTGAGTATCAGGAATATGGAGAGAATCCATATAGAAATAAGGAATGTAAGAAAGCCTTCAGTTATCTTGACTCCTTTCAATCACATGATGAAGCTTGCACTAAAGAGAAACCCTATGATGGTAAAGAATGTGCAGAAACCTTCATTTCCCATTCATGCATTCAAAGACACAAGGTGATGCACCGTGAAGATGGACCTTATAAATGTAAGTTTTGTGGGAACGCTTTCTTTTTTCTCAGTTTATGTCTTATCCATGAACGAATTCACACTGCTGTGAAACCATATGAGTGTAAACAGTGTGGTAAGGCCTTTACTCGTTCCACTACCCTTCCAATACATGAAAGAACTCACACAGGAGTGAAAGCCAATGCATGTAAGGAATGTGGGAATGCATTCAGTTTTCCTAGTGAAATTCGTAGACATAAAAGGTCTCACGCTGGAGAAAAACCCTATGAGTGTAAGCAATGTGGGAAAGTCTTCATTTCTTTCAGTTCCATTCATTATCATAAGATGACTCACACTGGAGAGAAACCCTATGAATGTAAGCAATGTGGGAAAGCCTTTAGATGTGGCTCACACCTTCAAAAGCATGGAAGGACTCACACTGGAGAGAAACCCTATGAATGTAGGCAATGTGGTAAAGCCTTCAGATGTACCTCGGACCTTCAAAGGCATGAAAAGACACACACTAGTGATAAACCCTATGGATGTAAGCAGTGCGGTAGAGGCTTTAGATGTGCTTCACAACTTCAAATTCATGAAAGGATGCACAGTGGAGAGAAGCCCCATGAATGTAAGGAATGTGGAAAAGTATTCAAGTATTTTTCTTCCTTGCATATACATGAAAGGACGCACACTGGAGAGAAGCCCCATGAATGTAAGCAGTGCGGAAAAGCATTCAGGTATTTCTCTTCCTTGCATATACATGAAAGGACACACACTGGAGATAAGCCATATGTGTGTAAGGTCTGTGGCAAAGCCTTCACTTGTTCCAGTTCCATTCGATATCATGAAAGGACTCACACTGGAGAGAAGCCGTATCAATGTAAGCACTGTGGTAAGGCCTTTATTTCCAATTACATTCGATATCATGAAAGGACTCACACTGGAGAGAAACCCTATCAATGCAAGCACTGTGGCAAAGCCTTTATTCGTGCCAGTTCATGTCGAGAACATGAAAGAACTCATACCATTAATATATGAGAAATCCTGTTAGTGGAAGAAATAGGAGAAGCTTTCTGTTGTCCCACTTCCTTTGAAACACGAGAAAAGAGAGTGGTGAAAGGACCTCTGGATAACTGCCTTTTGAATTGAGAAGAGAGACCTGCAAAAGGACAATAACGTCTAGAAGGACTTGGATGGTTCTGTAATACAATTCACCTATAGCCAATCTTGCATGAGATTTCAAAGGCACAGAAAAGGAAGGCATCAGTCACACATTAGAGGCACCACACAGGGAGAGAGATGTGTGGCTACCTGCTTCCAGCCCATTTTCCTGATTCTTTCACTTGTTAATCGAGAGTATCCCCCAGCCGGGCGCGGTGGCTCAAGCCTGTAATCCCAGCACTTTGGGAGGCCGAGACGGGTGGATCACGAGGTCAGGAGATCGAGACCATCCTGGCGAACACGGTGAAACCCCGTCTCTACTAAAAAGTACAAAAAAAACTACCCAGGCGAGGTGGCGGGCGCCTGTAGTCCCAGTTACTCGGGAGGCTGAGGCAGGAGAATGGCGAGAACCCGGGAGGCGGAGCTTGCAGTGAGCTGAGATCCGGCCACTGCACTCCAGCCTAGGTGGCAGAGCCAGATTCCGTCTCAAAAAAAAAAAAAAAAAGAGAGTATCCCCCAAATCACTTGTCTCTGTTCCTCAGAGCTATAGGTCGCCAGAGATGTCCCCAGGTGCTCCACATTAAAGATACATGCCCACTTTGCTATTTCTTCAGAAATGTTAAAATGTTTACCAGAGAACTAATAAATGTTGTTATGGCTGGAAATACTCCCTGATGCCCAACTCCTCTATAGATTGAGTTGGTTTAAGAGGTCTACTTTGTGTTGCAAGCATTGTTATTTCTACGGATAGTGACCTTGTTCTTGATTAAACCAACTAGATGGGAGCTTGTTCCTCTGCTGCATTGTGCAGTGATTGGTCTCACCAAGAGCTTTTATGTGAGAAGAGCCACCTTGCTCTTATCAGGAAACATATCACAACTGAATGTAATGTCTCACTTCATTTTTAACTTTGTATGAGTATACCTGACTAAAAACACTAATGTGGTTTCTTGGCAACAAAGACTTTTGTTCAAGTATTTTAGAAATAAGCTTAACTGTTTATAACAACTGCATACTAACAATTATTATTTTTTAATTAAGAAGCTATATTATAACATCCCATTAGCGTCATGTATTACATCAAGTTGATAGTGTTACCATGTTATCCCATGGACACTGTGAGTCAGTGTTGCCATGTGGATGTCAGGCATATTTTTCTTCATGTAGATTTTACTTTTCATGCTTATATTCTTAGTTTTTATCTGGATCATGACTTTTCATTTATTCTAAACACCAAAGGTCATCTCATGTTCTTGAGTGACTTCTGACCAAAGACCACCAGTGGCATAACTGTCGTCAAAGAGGGTGTAACATACTGTAGTAATGAATATGACCAAAAGCCATAGATGACTGTGAGATGTATGAGAATTACAAGGTAGTCACATTCATGAGAAGAGCAAAATTTGGGGTATCTTTGTGATTTAAAGTGTTTTCTTCTGTCACATTTTGAGACATGGTTAAAGAATGAGTTATTTTTGTATTGATCCATCATGGTCACTGAGGAGCATCATCTCACATTGCAGGTGTATGACATGTGCCTGTTCAGGGGCAAAAGACTTGGCCTTCTGGTGACGGAAGGCCAGCCATCAGACTTCTGGACTGGTTTTTGCCATACTATTCTCTAAATCCTGACATATTCCCTATAATTTATGGACATTGTTAACCATAACATACCTCAGTTAAAATATATAAATTCACTTCTTATCAAAGTATATACTATGATTTCATTTATTTTTTGTAGAGATGGAGTCTCCCTGTTTCCCAGGCTGGTCATTGACTCCTGGATCATGTGATTCTCCTGTCTTCATCTCCCCAAGTGCTGGGATTATAGACATGAGCCGCCGCAATCAGCTAGTACTTTTGTTTAAAAAATCACCTGGCCGGGCGTGGTGGCTCAAGCCTGTAATCCCAGCACTTTGGGAGGCCGAGACGGGCGGATCACGAGGTCAGGAGATCG